CGAGTTGTCCTTGACTATCGCCAACTTAATAAGCAGATGGTCTCGGACGCATATCCGATACCTCGACTGTGGACGAACCTGAGGACGTGTGCAGGTAGGAACTATTACGTAACACTAGACATGAACAAGGGATTCTGGAACATCCCGCTCGAAGAGGAGAGTAAGCGGTTCACTGCGTTCATCACTCCGAGCGGTCTGTTTGAATTCAACGTGCTACCGTTCGGGATAAAGAATTCTCCGACGGCGTTTCAGCGCGCAATGGATCACGTGTTCGGAGATCTCGTTGGCAAGAATGTGTTTTTATACATTGACGACGTGGTTATCTGTGGTGATACCAAGGAGGAGGTCCTAACGCTTTTGGAGAAAGTCTTGCAGCGTACGATCATCTCTGGATTCTACCTTCGACTCGACAAGTCGGAGTGGATGAAGCCAACGGTCGACTATCTGGGTTATCAGGTAGGTCGAGACGGGATCAAGGTACGTAATAAGTCCGTAAAGAGTGTAACAGAGGCGGCCCCGCCGACGAATAAGGCTGAACTCCAGAGCTTCCTCGGTTTGGTGGGCTACTTGCGTAGTTTCATACCGAGGTATGCGGAACATACAGCGAGGATGTGTGAGCTCCTGAAGAAGAACGTCCAGTATGAATGGATAGATCGACTGCAGCTAGACTTCGACGGTCTCAAGCAAGCAGTAGCGAATACCGCAACCTTACACGCGCCACGACCAGGAAATCGGTACGAAGTATACACGGATGGCTCCGGAGTGGGGATAGGAGCAGCGCTCATGCAGGAGCAAGACGGCCAATGAGTGCCCCTGGAGTATACAAGCCGTAAGTTGTCAGACACAGAGCGAAGGTGGGATACCCGAGAGAGGGAGCTCTACGCTATCAAGTACGCGCTAGAGAAATGGCGAGACTACCTCGGCCTAGAGAAGTTTGTGGTACGGACGGATCACAACAACCTCAGATACCTAGCGACGGTCCACACGGGCAAGGTCCAGCGTTGGGCCTTGTACCTAGCGCAATTTAACTTCGATATAGAGTTCCTACAGGGAAGTCAGAATAACGTTGCCGACTGGCTTAGTAGGTATGCCGCTCCAGACATCGACGAGGATGATCTGTTAGACACCATGGGCCTACCGGTCAAGCAGGTGGACAAGATAGATGTGGGCATGGATCTGCCGAGTTTGGCGGAGGTGAGGCGTGCAGTCCAGGAGGAGGGCCAGCCAGGACACAAAGGTTATGTAGAGCGCGACGGTAGGATTGTGGAAGCCGCGACGGGTCGAGGGTACGTGCCCGGGGCTCTACGAGCGAGAGTAATTCGCGGCTTGCACTACGGACGAGGAGGAGCACACATGGGTGTGACAAAGACTGTGAGAAGAGTAGCGCAGTACTTTGTGTGGCCGGGCATGCCGGCTGACGTAGCAGCCTTTGTGAAGTCTTGCTTGATATGCGCGCGGCTAAAGCAACCGCGTTCCCCCACGCATGGATACGAGGTGGGGCACCTGGACGCTGCGGCGGCCCTGACCTTCGTGAGTCTCGATCACATAGGTCCGATAACGTACGAGAGTGTTCGCTGCCTCATACTCGTTATCATGGATCACGCCACGAGGTATATGGTGGCACGGGTAGTTGCCGACACGACAGCTGAGCTTACCTACAAGGTGTTCAAAGCGTGCTGGCTGGACTACTTCGGAGTGCCGAGGGTGATGCTTACGGACAATGGCGGTGCGTTCCGCGGGTCGTTCCACGAGCAGGTGGTCAGCGCTCTGGGTGTGAGTCACCTGTACTGTAGCGCTTACAGGCCACAGGCCAACGGAGTTAATGAGGCGTCACATCAGTTCCTTAAGTTAGGAATGGCAGCACTTTGGCAAGAAGGCAGTCGTGACATCCCGACGATCCTAGCGGAGGTGGTGAACGTGTATAACACCACACCGCACCGAGCTAAAAGGTTGAGTCCTTTTCAGTCACTCTTCGGGTTGGAGCCGATAGTACCGGGCTGTCAGGAATGGGCGGAATGGGACAAATGTAGTAGCTGCTCTGAGAGACCGGCTGATTAGGCTTCTGGTGAGAGACCGCCAAGTGAAGACGTCGTCAGAGGAACCTTTGCAGCCAGGTGACATCGTTGTGGCAAGGGTGCATGCTGGAGGAGCGACTGAACATTTAGGCACGAACGAAGAGGCCACCCGGACTGGCTCGCCAGCACCTGGTTGTTGCCCACGTTAGTGCTGAGAGTAGATGGTAAGCGAGTCACCCTTCGGCGGTACGGAAAGAAGGATAAGACGATAGAGGTCAGCCTGGCTGACGTTAGAAGGTACCAACCGGTGACCGAGCTGCCGTCTGTTATGGCAGGGAGGAAGCAGGAAAGTCTGGCTGTAGACCCCGGACCGAGACCAGGCAAACGGCCCCGGCCACAAGAAATCGACCTGACTCGTAACGACGAGGAATACATAGACGCCGAGGGTTGGAGTTTCTTCCCCATGCGGCCCGCTAGCGAGGAGGAGGATGAGACGAGAACGGGCAGATAGACATAACGCTACCAGTCCGGCTGGGTTTTTGGGGGAAGACATATCTTTCACCTAACATTCCGCCGTGTTCTGACAGCGAGAGGAGGCAAGTGACGGTAGGTCAGCGGGTTGATGAGGTTGGGTCTACACAGGCACGCCCGGTCCTGAACCACGAGCTATTCAGCTCACCGTGCGAGACAAAACAGCCCAAGAGTGGAAAGTTTTGTTGACGAGTTAGGACGGCTGTACGACTGGCGGGTGGGCTGTTGAACCTGGGTGGTGGCGTGAGCCGCGGTTCACACGACACCGGTCGGTGTCTGGACAACTGTATTGCCGGAGTTGTGTGTCGTAGCGACGAACGGAGTGGGGCTGTAAGTTGGGGCACTGGGCGCACAGCAACTGCTGTGCGTTGCATCACGGGAGGCAGTAGGGTTGTCCGGTTGTCGGACAATGGGCATAGGAACCGCTGTCTTGGGGTCCGTACAAGTAGGGCCCATACAAGTACGAAGTCTTGTGGACAACCCCAGACCGCTTAAAGCACGAAGACTAAACACACCTTTGACCAATGTCGCTAGAAGTATTAAGCAGCGGCAAACGAGAGGCTCACCACACGTCGCTCAAGGCACGCTGGTGTGTCCTGTTGGGTGCTGGGGGACGGCCTGCTAATCTTGAGCTCGTCGTCTGGGTCGCGGAATAGGGGTATCGCGTCAGGAGTGTGTGTCGCCATGTTGTCCTCTGTCTCCCGTATATCAAAAACCCCGTTGTCGGCCCGTCATTGAGCTGTTATGCCTCAACGCGCCATCACACTGGTCTGTCGCAGTCATGCATCGTCGTTTGTCGTGTGCGTGTAATATCTACAGGCCGTAAATTTTTAGGGTAAAGGGGGGCCGCAAAACAACAGCAAACCATGGTCGAGTCTACCACCCACGAGCACAACGGCGGCCTTGCTTCGAGGAGAGGGCGCGCGACTAACTGGAGGCTGGTCCATGACGACGATGCTAGGATGGCTTGAAGGACGACGATGAACGAGAGAACTGAAGATTGAAGGCGAGTGGAGTTGAACCCCAAAAAGAGATAAAAACTTATTTGGCGTTGTCTTCGCTGTGTGGCCGTTGTGTCGCCCGGGGGAGGCTTTCTCAGGCGCGTGGCTGGGTGGTTACACGACTCAACCTCCCCGTTTTTTTGCTTATGCCCGCGGCACTAGGGCGAAGTGGAACCTTGCTTCGTTGGTATCCTCCCCGGTGTCTGCGTCTGGGGATGTTCTTCCTCGTCCCGCCGGGGTCCGAGGGGGCTTCTCAGTTGTCTTGCGGACGCTACGCGCGGCGCGGGGTCGTTGGTCGTAGGGGTTTGCTCGGTGGCGTGGATTAGTCCCCAGAGGGATGTGCTGGGTGTGGTCTGCGTTGACTTCCCGTGCGGTGAGTGTTCTGAGGTCGATCGGTGAGTGTGTGACCTTGAGGACCTCGGACAGCGGGGATTCGTAGACTAGGTCTTTGTGCCAGATGGATTGGGCGACGATTTTGTGTCCCTTGATCTCGGTGACTCGCCAGGGCTCGGACCAGTTCGGGACGAGTTTAGAGGAGCGGAATCGTTCTTGGAGCGTGGCTAAGAGTTTGCCTCGTAGCAGCATGACGACGGTGTCGCACACTTTGATTTCTTTGGTTGTTGGCGTTCGTCGTCGGCTGATGGTACGGAGCGTGTGGTCGAGTGCGTCTTGCCTGAAGAGGTCTAGTAGCCGGAGGCGGGGGACGACGTCTTGGATGAGGTGCTCG